ATATGCAAACTGTTGTAATTCCTACACCGTTCACCTGATTTGGATGTAAATACCCTCAAATTAAAGCTGACAGTCTGCAGTTAAAGCACATCTTGTTCGTTTCATTTGAAATCCATTGTGGTGGTGTATAGAGCCAAAAATGTTAGAACTGTGTCGATGTCCCAATATTTATGGACCTGACTGTATATATATATATATATATATATATATTTCTTCAATCGGTGTTTTGATGGTGGCAGAGAGCAAAAAAAAAATTTCCCTACACAAGAAACTATTTATTGAGCCCTCGAATTCTGTGGATGGAGGCGGGGTCATCCTGGAAGAGACCACGCCCATCAGGATAGCAATATTTCTGCACAGGATAAAGGTGATCAGTGAGAAGAACTGTGCTTAATTTGACGCTTCTCTATAAGGGGACAAGTGGAGCCAAACCAGGAGCTTATGAGAGTTTTTCCTTTTAATTATAATTAAATCAGAGTGAGCGATATATATTTCTTCAATCCATTTACCATTAGTAAATGCATTTTAATGACAGATTTCTAGTATCACAAAGATTTAAAAAAAAAAATATTTGAAACTGTGTTGCCAGAGGCTTTAAGGGCTGTTTTATTATTTTTAGGTGTTTTTTTATATTTTGTTGGAACATAATTTTGAATATTCATACTGTTTGTGAAAACAAAAAGAATACATACATGCCTCAAAATGGCTCAAGCTTCGTCGAAACGCTATAAGAAAATGCTGTACATTTTTCTTTGGCTTAATACAGTTGTTTGCAAATGCATAGTAATGCAAATGCATAGAAACATTTGCATAGAGATGCTGAATGCGCAATATGCTCTGCAACAATGCTGCAGCAAATAAAAACACTATAATCCCTGAGACACACAGCAAGTAAGCTATACAGCAGAGAGTGTCTGTAGTTTTCTAAATGATTCCTACTTTATAAATCCCTAGAGCAAGGCCTAGAACAAGGTCTTCTTATCGAGGGAGTCTTACAGATAGCCATGGGAAGGACAATAAATTTAAGAAGCTCTGCCATACATCTGTCTCCAAAATATTGTTTTGTCGTGCAAAAAGGAGAATCACAAACTCTAATGTTAACATTGCATTTGAAACATTTGAAATAATAAAATTTAAAATAGATAGGACTACATCTGAAAATTATTTACTTATAATCTGAAATAACATTCACAATAAACCTGTATCTCTGAGCTGCCATTGTTAATGTAATAAAGGTTTCTTTCTCATGGCTGTTTTGAGAATAATCCTGTGCAGACATCTGGCAGCCTTACTTCACCACAATAAAAAAAAAAAAAAAAAAAAAAAATTACATTTCACAGAGCCACTGTCTGTCCCATTAGATTTTTAGCTTCACATATTATGGGAACTAAAAGTCTAGATATGTGTATGTGGAAGTTCTTTATCATTTTTTTGACTTTTTCTTGGCAGCTTTTTCCATCTTCATTTTAAGAGCCTTCTCCTTCTCTAGCCGCTTCTTCTCTTTTTTCTTCTCCATTTTTGCCTCCTTGTACTTCCAAACAGGTGGCTCCAGGTAACCTTTCGACATCTTCCTTTTCTTCTCCTTCTTGGGGGTCGGGTCAGCTGACTTGGTCACTTTGATTTGAGGGATGCAGCTGGTGGGGAAGATGCTGTTGTGGCGTGCTATGCTGCGTGGGACCAGCCTGCGTATGCTGCTGGAGGCCATGGAGAACATGCTGCCCTTATGCTCTGTGTCTGAGTAGCATGAGGCCAGAGACACAGATGATCCGGAGGTGATGGTGGAGGAGGCTGAGAAGATGGAGCCATTTCTGTGATGTATCATGGGGCTCTTGAACTTCTGGTCTGGGGTTTGCTGCATCAGTCCAGGCGTGACTAAACACCTCTTGCCGATCTCTGGTGGACTCGTGGGACAGAGTGGACGGCAGCCTGTGACCACCAGGGGACTGTGGATGCTCGTGGTGATGCGCACCATGTGATCCAGGACGCCGTTGTCCTGAGGATCCTGCGGAAAACTGAAAGTGAACGTGGACTTCAAGCGATGGGCGACCTTCTGCCCTGCACTTTTTGTGGTTGTGGCTTTTCTCACCAGCTCTTTAAGATCTGGCCACTCCGGGACATAGCTTTCACAAAATTGCTCTGCACGGGGCCGGCTGGACAGTTGTCTCAGCCTTGTAAGAGTTTCAAAGTGTCCTGTTTTTAGTGCCCATTCTCTTACATCTTTCCTCCGTGTGGCGTCTACTGAATTTATGTCTGCACCTGAAATACAGAGAGACAGGAAAGAAAAGTTAGACAGGCTCACAAGTTCTGGGAAAACTCATGTTTTATTTCACAGTGGTTCTCACTCTCAAATTCTAGGGATTCTATTCTGAATTTCTGTGTATGTCTTATCACAAAGCAAACTGAACTCATTTTATTTCACTAATTATAGTACCGTGATTAATTTGTATTAGCAGTCACTTTACAAATAACAGAAATAACATTTAACACTCCATGCACAAGCCACTATAAACAGAGTTTACGTTTTCATTACTACTGTGCAGTAGATTTTGGTTTTCTGTAGTGTTATAGTTAGTTTACTGTCTATATTTATTGTAATTATTGATTTTCGCACAGTCTGTCACTGTGTTCCTGATCCTCTTGTCTGATGTCTCAGATTATGCCATGGAAATTGTAGCATCGTAATTTTGGGTGAACTACATTTCATTCCTAATGTCTGTATATGATGAGAAGAACGACACTAAAGCTTACTGGACTTGATGAATTATGGTAAAAGTTCACACACACATACACACACACATCTTTTGATCTTGGTTTTGTAATGAATCATATAATGAGTCACACTATACCAGCAAGACAACATCATTGCGCCCCCTTTTGGCCTCTTATTGAAGCACATAAATTAAATATAAATTAACACAGGTTGTGCAGAATGCAGAGATACTATTTATACACTAATTTTAGTGTAAGTATTTAAACT